GTATTCTTATAATTTAAACTTTCTGTAATAGAAAACATTAAATTTGAAATCTTTTATAAAATGTTAAATTAACATATCTTCAGTGATTTCATTTTCTTTTGTTTTCTTTAGCAACAGTTCTGAATGTCTTCAGTCACAAATCAGATAGCACAGTTTAGAATACTGTGAAGTCTATAAAACTATACTTAATGGAGTTATAAATCCAGATTACAAACACTCACTTTCAAACTACTGGGTGAATTGACTTATTTTAAAATACCACTTTGTTCTATAGATTGTTCAGTAAACTATAACATGAATAACTGTTCAATTAAAAATTGACAGCAAGTTGAATTGAGCCATTTTGGTGTGCACGCATGTGCTCGGTCATGCGTGCATGTGTGTATAGTGTGGAAGAGTGTTTGATATATTTTGTGAATCTGAGACTTTCTACCTTTCTGAAAACAATATCATAAGCTATCTTAGGGAAAAGAAATGTTCCCTCATTTACAAAATTTTCAATTATTGTTCATGTGAAGAGATATTTTTAGCCTTTTAAAAATCATATTAAGTTTGATAAATATTTGAGAAATAACATAACTTTTAGAAAATGACAATATTTTAAATTTGTGCAAAAATTGTTGGAGTAGTCATGTACATTTTCATTTCCTTATTGAAATGTATATATATATATACACACACATATATATATTTCCAGAGCATTTCATGTGAAATATGTAAATATCTTCTTTTATTCTCACAAACATTAGTGTTAAATCTTGATTTTTCAAGTTAACAATTAGACTTCCAGCAATAGAAATACAAAAACATCAGAATCCTCTAGTTATTCATAGAAAGAGTAGAGAATAATTAATAGAAACAGTGCAAAGTAAAAAAAAAAAATTCACTTTCACTTTAAAATTTTTCTTTAGCTTCACCAAACTTCAACCAATGCATCTTTGCCCCCAGTAATTTGCTCCTAGCACCTTGATTTCTTTGGAAATAGTCACTGACAGAGAAAACTGCACCAAAAATATGAGTCATTTCCTCTCTTTTTCATACCCATTTTTCACTTTTACATACACCTCAAAATTATTTCTTTTTCTTTTCTCCATTCATTGCCCTTTTATACAAGGTCAAAAGTCATAATATTAATATTTATTGAATATTTTCCAAGACAGGCATCGTATTGTGTGCTTTTCATGCATTATCTCTTCTATTTTCTCAGAATTAATAATATAATGACCATTATTCAAATAGGGTAATTGGAATGACCTTAAAAAGTTTAAATTATGTAACAAAGAATGCAAACATGGTAAGCAGTGGAACTGGTATTTAAACCCAGGTCTATCTGTTGGTGGAACCCTTGCTTTTAACTACATTATCACTACCACTCTAAATTCAGGAAAAGTCCTTCAATGAAGGCATCACTGTGTGTCCCAGCACTACTTACTTACACTGGATTATGACGTCACATTCAAAACACAATACAGTCACAACCAAAATTAAAAATGACATCAGGGGGCCGACCCGGTGGCGCACTGGATAGTGCACCGCTTGGGAAGCACGGCGGCGCTCCCGCCCGAGGGTTCGGATCCCACATACAGACCGGTTCCTGCTCACTGGCTGAGCGAGGCGCGGGAGCAACACCGAGGGTTGCAATCCCGTTGCCGGTCCCGGTCCGGTACGGGGGCGACACTGAGGGCTGCGATCCATTGCCGGACACGGAAAAAGACAAAAAAAAAAAAAAAAATGACATCAGGAAAGTATATTTATAAGTGGACCACCTTTTAAAGCACATGTGCACGCGCACACACACACGGAGTACAGAAGGAGTAGAATAACAAACATATATTACCAATATTATTGATGTTGTGGATATTAATTTTTGTTTGAATATAATAATAATAGTATTATTATCATGTGAAAGTTTGCAGTTGAAAAAAATTTTTTTATATATTAATATGTCATATAAATTTTCACAACTTTTTTGTGAGAGAGTGCTGCTTTGCCTCACATGGAGTGATGGAGATGCAAAAAAGATTACTCGCAGTCCATTTTGTCTGAGCAGTGATAGACCCCAAAGGCGTTAACTTCCTGGAACCCTCAAGAGAGAGGCATTACTCCTTTGGGAAATTAACCATGAACTGGGGTTCTCTCCCTGTATTTATTCTCCAGACCAAGAAGTTACAGAAAAGGAACATAACTGGAGTTATGGCTAAGTATAGTTTAACAATAGAAGCTGGTAACATCAGTAAAATAACAAAGTGAACATTCCATAATGCAATTTGTAAAAGGTTAAGTCAATCCACCAAGAAAACTTGTTCTTAGCAAATACTATCTTTCCCTCCAGCAATTTCCTTAGCATATTTACATAACACTCAAGTAACTTTCTTAACATGTCAATCAGTAGGTCAACCTGCTCTAAGGACATCTGTCCTTGAGAGCCAGCAACTTTGCTGTGTTACAATTCTATATCCACAACAGAGACTATAGCCTGGGGAAAGTATCCTGTCTTTTGCAAACTTAACATTTCTATATATAATTTTTAAAAGTTAGGTTATACCTGAAACTACAGGGCTTTGTAGTCTAGGCCCTGTGAAATACATTTGCTTTATAAATGTTAGTATACTCTATAAGATAGAAAATTGTTATTATTCTCATTTTTTTATAGAGGTTATGCAGTTTGTTGTAAGGAATGAACTTGGAAACGTCCATAATAGCATGCACATTTGTGCATATTAGTATGTAAAAATTCAGTGTGCTTTTCATTATATTATGTTAGAGGGATGGGTGAAAGGCATGAAAATTCCAAACATATAAAGAACGATTTATTTGTTTTGGGTTTGAATTTCTTAAAATTAATCTCAAAGTTTTTCTCATTTTTTTCTCTAATTAAAGTGAATTTTACAAACCGATGTTACTTATATTATGAAGTTATGGAAAAAAGAACTTGAGATACTTTTGGATTTTTATGTATAAATAGTGATATTTTCTTTTTGGGGAATTCAGAATAATGATAAATAGGGTGTTTAATATTGCTTAACTAATATATACAGAGACTTCAGTTCATGTTTTAGATGAACTGAACTTTACATAATACCTGATATGCATGACTAAGGAAAAGCATTCACAAAGACAAATACTGTTTTATCTCCTGCTTGGAAGAGAAGTGAGTCCCCACATTCCCTCTTAGAATATTTACTAGTCTGTGATTCCATGACTTGAATTGTAAGTGACATTACATGACCATAATATCTTGAGGATTTGGTCAAGCAAGATTACTATTTCTACATATTTGTAGGAAATCAAACTATTGTTCATCAGGATTTACGACTGGAAAGACAGAGAGATCACTTCAAATAAACTTAAGATCATAATTAAATTCTGCAAGCGTCTAAATATGAGTGAACTAATGTTTTCATTTTTTGGTACAAGCTACATCTAAACTGCTGAATAAAGATTGACGTTCTTTACTGATAGTAGATATTACTCAAGAGTTTATGTATTTTGCTTACACAGAAAAGGATATTCAGTATTTTATCAAGGAAATGAGAACAGAGTAAGTTAAAACTTATAAAAAATGCCCATTATTGCAAAACCACAGTATTAAAAACTTTTAATGCTTCCAACTCATGTTCCAATAGATAAAATATGGTCTCTAAAATTTTTAATCAAATATTCTGTTACCATGAAGATATGAAGGTTGAATAAATTATTTTTGATGTTACTCTGGTACAGTACTATTTTGAAATAGAAATGTGGATGAATATTTGAATTTTTGGCTGAATTAAAGATGAGATAATTTCATAGCTTGCCACTGGGAATTGTCTGTAAGGCACTGACTGAGCCTCCATAATTTATATTCACTTTTAAAGGATTTTATTGGATCTACTTCCTGACCTTTCTTACATTGGTAATTTAAATTCTATTACTTTGAAATTGGGCAATACATGCATGTTATAGCTAAAGTTCAAGCTTCCATTCATAGAAGAAGGGAAACACAGTTAGCAGATTCATGAATGCTACTTCTAGGTACCATAAAATTCAAGAAGTGGTTCATTTGCATGTGCATGTTTTTAGAAAGTAAGAGTTTCTGCTTTGATCAGCATTGCATTTCAGATGACTTCCTTGAATAAAAAGCAAAAGTTCTTAAACTTTTACTGAAGGTTTTTGCTGAAGCTTTTACTTATTAAGGACCTATAATCAAAGGAGAACTTCTTACTTTAAAAATCAGATTTGGTAAAAGAGTATAAGTCAAAATAGACTGTGAGTTTGTTCATTGTTTTTCCCTCCTATGGAAAATGGCCTGGTTTAAGTTCTAGTTGTGATTCTACAATACATTTCTGAAACATTAATATTTATAACATGCTTTCACTTAAAATACTTAGAACAATTACTGAAATGTGTTTTAATATTTTAATAAGGAAGACATATGATAAATGCTTGGGTTAAAAAGTGATTTTTGTTTTCTTCTGAGGCATGTGAAAGAAGAAAAACTAATTCACATTTTATAAATTTCATTCCAGTACCATCTTTAGAAAGAGCAATAATTTAAAAACCTTTAAGATATATCAGCAATTCCAAAAATAAAACAATTTTTATAGTAGTCATTTAAATTGAATGTGAAATACTTACAGTAGAAAAGTCTATTACATGGACTTTACTTGGATAAAGCTATAAAAAGCTAGTTTTCTGTATGTTTCAAACAACTGAATGCTAGTAGTCATGTACGATAAGAAAACCCTTATGCATAAAAAATTAAATCCTTTCATAAAAACTTTTGTTAGAAGATGCAGATATTTCATTTGGTTTACATATAATTTCCAGAAAATCTATTTTCTAATAGTATTTAAATAGTAACAGAAAATTAGAATCAAAGATTATGCTTTTGCTCTTTCTGTGGAAACTCTCAAGAGAAGATATAACTATGCCAAGATACTGACTAATGAGTATTATTTCAACTGTAGGCCGTGATTATACCTAAAATGTCTAATTATCAATACCCATTTCCTTTAAAGTCTCAAATATCTATCAGTGTAGAAGAGTGGGAAGACACCAAAGACTCCAAAGAACCAGGGCACCACCGCAGCAACCACCGCAACTCGACCTCCAGCGACCAGTCGGACCATCCCTTGCTGCGGAGAAAGAGCATGCAGTGGGCCCGAAGACTGAGCAGAAAAGGTCCAAAACACTCTGGTAAAACAGCTGAAAAAATAACCCAGCAGCGACTGAACCTCTACAGGAGGTCAGAAAGACAAGAGCTTGCTGAACTTGTGAAAAATAGAATGAAACACTTGGGTCTTTCTACAGTGGGATATGGTATGCTCTTTAAAACTACTGTATATGTGGACTTGTGATTTCTTGCCAGTAGTTACGTAGTTGGCTCTAATTTAGTAAAGAATTGCATTTTTGTTTCACAGGTCAATTTGTAGGCACTACTGACATGTATCTAATCTCCTACAGAAAGTTTAAATAATAATATAAATGAAATGCTAAAAATTTTAAGCATTTACTTAGTCCACTAGGCACTGTGCTGAACCCATTACATAACTTATCTCAATTTTAATTTCACAAAAACTCTGAGCCATACCCTCTGTTTCCATTTTAGAGATGAAGAAACTTGTAAGTTAAATAGCTTGCTAATTAGCTCATTAATAACCAAGCTAAGATTTACATCCAAGTCTGTCTGGCTCCAAAGTCTCCCTTACACACACACACACACACACACACACACACACACACACCCCACACCATAAATCTTAATTTAGGGCCTAGGATAAAATGAATTTGAGGCATTGGCAAGTAACTAACTGTAGCAGCCATCAATGAACCAAAATTTTCCAATAAAATTTGATTACTTTCTTGTGGTCCAGAAACAAAAAGTCTTCAAAAGCTTTACTTTTGAAGCTCAAATAATGCTTTATCTCATATAGTATGGATCTGTGTCAATAATTGTTAGGCTCCTATGTTGATCTGTGATTACCATATAGACCATATAGACACAACCTAAATAAATAATTCAAAGATAACTCTAAAGTCTATCATTCATCACTGTGTGAATTTTATTTTAAAAAGAAATCTGGTCAACTCAAAAGAAAACCAAATGATAAATAAGGTGTTTTGCTATCTACACACCTATAATTTTGGTAAATTGGGACCTGAAATTGTGTCAGTATTATGCAGGTTAAGAGTAAAATAGAATGCATTTCATATTAACCCCCATCTCATCTTTATTACTAAAGTCTCAACTTAAGACAGTGTTCACAAGGAGAAATTTTAACCATTAAATTAGAGTTCAAGAGAAGTTGCCTGTGTTTCTTTGAACAAGAAAACAAAAAACAAAGTTTACTATTACTCTGTGCCAGGTACTATGCTATATTTTCTCATTACTTCTCATAACCCTGATTAGACAGATGTCTTGTTCTACCCTTCATGAACTTGACTTTCAGAGGCTGAATATCTTCCTCCAGGACGTATAATTGAAATGGGTTGGAGTCAGGGTTCTATTCGTAATTGGAATATATATTTCACTTATTTAAATGTAGTACAGTCATTTGAGACCAGTAATTTTAATATAATCTCATTTAATGCCACACATTAAGAAGCAAATTAAAAGAAAAAAGATGCTCACTTTAGAAATTCATTAATAGCTCTCTGCCATTTAATGACATTGAGTATGATTATATTTCTATAAGATTATAGTCTTATATATGTGTACTTCTGTTAGTTATTATTCAGCTACTTTTTCTTTTAATGAAAAGTTCTAGTAAATGATGGCTCATCCAAGTTTCAGTTGTTTTTCATGAACGTTACAACCTTATTCTGCTCCTGTAAGCAGTGTGGCTGACAGTTTGAGTAACAGTTTGAATCTTAAAGACATAAAAATGCATGAGCTGACTGCATGGGAGAAACATTAGAAAACATACTATGTTTTTGCTAATGAGAGCTCTATCAGGTACCTCGTTTATTTTTACTATAATTTGTTAATTAAATTTTCATACTCCTAGAGAAAAGAAAAACAGATTCTGTCCAACTATTTCCCCTCTCTTTCCTTCTTTCTTTCTTTCTCTCTCCTTTCTGTCCATCTACCTTCCTATACATCCATCAATTCATTCTAAAATATGTACTGGACACCTCTAATAACGTAGTGACTGTAAAAACAGAACTCGGGATCTAATACCTCATGATCTTCCGGACTTCTCCATTTGTTCCTAACTCACAATAATTCATCCACTCTCCAGGTATTATTGGGTTGCCTTCTCAGTGCCAGGCACTGTTATTCCAGGCAGTGGGAATAGCACAGTGACCTCTTCAGGCAAGACCTCTGCACTTATAGAACTCATAATTTAGTGCCAGCCAGCATATTTGTTGAATTATATTACCTCTCTGAGCCTATTTTATTATCTGTGAATGGAAATAATAATACCTACATTGTAGGTTTATTGTGAGAGACAAATGGGATAATGAATGATAAAGTGGTTGGCCCAGAACTGGCGTTCAATTAATACCACAGGTATACTGTGTATCTGTTTGAGTACTGTGTGTATATCTGTTCTTTATACATAAAAAAATAATATTCTTTTTTTGCCCACCTCCAAAAAAAACCAAAAATTTTGCATCATCGGGCATTATTATCTACACTGAGAATGAATGCTTTAAAGCAATTATTGTTTTGCATGTTAACTGGTTTAACCATGAATCGCAATCTGATTTTTCCTAAGTAGGCCTGGCTGCTTGGAGAGAATTAAACGAGATATGGAATCTAAAGGAGAGAGAAAGAGAAATGTTAAAAGATGACTCTTGAGGGCTCCAGCTTGAGCAACTGAGTGTATGCTGGTGGCATTCACTAAGCTTAGAAGAAGACAAACACTTTGGGATGAAGATAATGAATTTAATTCACGTATTTGGTCAACATCTAATGAGTGATGCTCTGTAGCAAGCTGGATTTCTTCCATATTGATGCTCAAGAAAAATAAATGTGTATATAAACTTGAGAATCACCAGCATATAGATTTTAATTAATGCTATACGAGTAGATGAAATAACCCCCAAGTGAAGACTACAGGAGAACTCTAAAACACTGTTAATGGAAGAAGTATTTTTTTTAAAAAAAAGTTTTAAGTGTCTAGAACTGAGTTATCTCAAAGATATGCCATAGCACTAGAATATGATCTTAGTTGGTCACATGTGTCAACATGGCATTGATCCCCTATACCTTCAGAAGGTCGTGGGGCCTAGGTGGTCAGAGCCACCCCTCAAGCTGGTTACCTCCAGCCATAAGCAGTTTTGTTACTCCAATATGCTGCACAAATATCATTTCCTGTGTGTCCCATCATGTGAGAAAATGTCAGGAAGTGATGGACTAGAGAAACAAAAAAACTAGAGAAACAGGTATGAATGATTAATAGTGCTGAATAGTGTTAAAAGTACAGTGATATGTCTCAATGAATACAATATCAGTTGAATGATACGTGTAAAACCAGATCTGAGTTGCTTGAGGAGTGATATTAGGTGAGGATTTGGGTATGGTGGATTTAAATATATTCGGATTGACTATAAGTAACAGAAAAACCGAAAGCAGCCATGGTTTAAACAAGACTAAAGATTGTATTTGTCTTGCATATTAAGACTTTCAAGATAGTTTGTTCATAGTTGGTGGGACCCCACCCCAAGGAACTGGAAATTCAGTCTTCTACCTTGTCGCTTCCATTGCCAAGGTCTTATCATACAAGATGAAGTTAGAACTCCTATCATTTTGTTCACCTTCCACACAGAGGAAAGAAGGAGGGACCAGAGAAGAAAGAACTGTCTCCACAATTAAAAGACATTACAAAGTAGTCAAACACACTATTTCCACTGTATCCCGTTGGCAAGGATGTATGGGTTTCTTTGGTGGTCCAGTATTAACATATACAGAAGACAAGAAAAGTAGATACCAATTAACACCTAGAAGTCTCTGCCTCAATAGACATTTTTTCAAGAAGTATCATTGTGAAAAAGAGATGAGAAAGATGGAGATAGCTGGAGGGAAGAGTCAAGAAGGAAGAGGAATTTTTTTTTTTTTTTGGAAGATCAGAGAAATATGAGCATGTTTAAATATTGAGATTGAGCTCTTAGTGAAGAAGTTAAAAATACAGGAACAGGAACACATTTGGAGTCCTTTGCTTAGATGCTCGGAAATAAGAAAAAGTTACATGTTTTTAAATGCAGTAAACTTGGTAGGTATTTTGACAGGAAGTTGAGAGATAATTTATATGATAATAGGAGGTAAAATCATGCACTGAGAATGATGGCAAGGATAGAAGGGTGGGTGTTTTGAAAATGGTTGGCAGCGTCAAAGGAAAAGAGGCCCTTTCTGTGCAAGACTCTACCAAAGCTTCTGGTTTAATTAACACAGAACATTTCAAACGTGAATAAATATAGCCATAATAGTATAATAAACCACTATTCACCCAATATCCTGCTCTAACACTTATCAACTCATGGCCCATCTTATTTCATGTATGCTGCCACCCATTTCCTTCGCCTCTTATATTATTTTTAGGTATATCAGACATCATATATTTCAATTTATACCTTTATCATTGCAGGACTAGTTTTAGGAACATAACCATCTACCATTTTCATGATTTAAAATAAGTATTTATTTATTTATTTTTTTCCTTTTTGTCTTTTTTTTTTTTCGTGACCGGCAATGGATCGCAACCCTCAGTGTCGCGCCCGTACCGGACTGGGACCGGCCACGGGATCGCAACCCTCGGTGTTGCCCCCGCACCTCGCTCAGCCAGTGAGCGGCCGGTCTGTATGTGGGATCCGAACCCTCGGCGGGAGCGCCACCACGCTTCCCAAGCGGTGCACTGTAGCAGTGCGCCACCGGGCCGGCCCTAAAATAAGTATTTAATATCATCAAATATTCACCTGATGTTTACATTTCCAATTATCTCATAAATGCTGTAATGTTTTATAGTTTGTTTAATCAGGATAATTGTTTCATGCATTGAGATGGATGATAACTGTAAGCATTTTTAATATATGTTTTCCCATCTCATATTTTTTCTATCACAATCTATTTCTTAAAAAAAGTCAGTCTTTGTCCTGTGGGGTTTCCCATGCTCTAAATTTCCAATCTAAATTTGCCCATTGCATTCTCCCCCCCACTTTTTTTTTTTTCTTAACCAGTCTTTTGGTATTGTTATGAACTCATGGATTTAAACATATTTTATATGTTTTAATCCATTGCAGTTATGTTATTTATCACATTTTTCCAGATTTGCCCAGTGGGAGCCTCTTCAAATTGCCTTTGCAGTCATTGTGATGAC